CAAAAAAAAAAGTGTTTTTTAAAAAAAAAAAAATGCACACACAGTACAAACGCACAATCCGTATAGACGTGACGCTTGCTGTGTACAGAGAGGTTGTTCCATTGATCGGATCCTCATGAAACACCGAGCAGCTGTCACACAAGACGGGAGAATCATTAACCTGATGTGGGAGAGCCGTGTCTGTGCTGTAAACAGGGGGGGAATCGCAGCCCAAACAACGCTCGTTTCAGACACAATAGAGTCGCCATAATGCTGCATTCACATGCCATGGTGACGGTAAATAGAAGGTCTGGAAATTCTGTTTGAACAATCTACAACCTTGTTGTCCAACCTGCACCCTGAAGGTCACATGTGGCCCTTTGGCATTTTTTAGGGCCCCTGCAGGCATTAAACTGTTTCTTTATTTGCCCTGTTATAGCTGTGATCTCTGACCGTCTCATGTATCCATGTGTGCAGTCTCTGACCATCTCATGTCATTCCTGTAGTCTGACTATATCCTGTTGTGTGTGCCGTCTCTGATCAGGGCTGTCCTAATGCATGGGAACCAGCCAGGGCCCCCCCCATTATAATCTCACATTATATCATTCTTGCCAACTGTCCCGGATTTGCCAGGACAGTCAAACATTTTACTAAGCTGTCCCGGGACGGCCAGAGCAGCGCCCCAGAACCTGTACTGTGCCCCCCCCGATCCCAGTATTGTGCCCTTCCGACTCCCCCTGTACTGTGCCCCCCCCTGATCCCGGTATTGTGCCCTCCCGACTCCCCCTGGGCTGTGCCCCCCCCGATCCCGGTATTGTGCCCTCCCGACTCCCCCTTGTGCTGTGCTCCTCTGATCCCGGTATTGTGCCCTCCCGACTCCCCCTGTGCTGTGCCCCCCCCCCCCCGATCCCGGTATTGTGCCCTCCCGACTCCCCCTGTGCTGTGCCCCCCCCCCCCCGATCCCGGTATTGTGCCCTCCCGATCCCGGTATTGTGCCCTCCCGACTCCCCCTGTACTGTGCCCCCCCTGATCCCGGTATTGCGCCCCTCCGACTCCCCCTGTACTGTGCCCCCCCTGATCCCGGTATTGCGCCCCTCCGACTCCCCCTGTACTGTGCCCCCCCGACTCCCCCTGTACTGTGCCCTCCTGATCCCCCCTGTACTGTGCCCTCCCGACTCCCCCTGTACTGTGCCCTCCCGACTCCCCCTGTACTGTGCCCTTTGGACTCGCCCTGGACTGTGCCCTCCCGATCCCGGTATTGTGCCCTAGCGACTCCCCCTGTGCTGTGCCCCCCTGATCCCAGTATTGTTCCCTCCCAACTCCCCGTGTACTGTGCCCTCCCGACTCCCCGTGTACTGTGCCCTTTTGACTCGCCCTGGACTGTGCCCCCCTGATCACGGTACTGTGCCCTTCCAGCTCCCGCTGTGCCCTCCCGACTCCCCTTGTGCTGTGCCCTCCCGACTCCCCCTGTACTGTGCCCTCCCGACTCCCCCTGTACTGTGCCCTCCCGACTCCCCCTGTACTGTGCCCTCCCGACTCCCCCTGTACTGTGCCCTCCCGACTCCCCCTGTACTGTGCCCTCCCGACTCCCCCTGTACTGTGCCCCCCTGAGCTCAGTACTGTGCCTTTCCGACTCCCCCTGTACTGTGCTCTCCCGATCCCTGTACTGTGCTCCCCCAACTCGCCCTGTGCCCTCCTGATCCCAGTTATGTGCCCTCCCGACTCCCCCTGTGCTGTGCCCCCCTGATCCCAGTTATGTGCCCTCCCGACTCACCCTGTGCTGTGCACCCCCTGATCCCAGTATTGTGCCCTCCCGACTCCCCCTGTGCTGTGCCCCCCTGATCCCAGTATTGTGCCCTCCCGACTCCCCCTGTGCTGTGCCGCCCTGATCCCAGTTATGTGCCCTCCCGACTCCCCCTGTGCTGTGCCCCCCTGATCCCAGTATTGTGCCCTCCCGACTCCCCCTGTGCTGTGCACCCCCGATCCCAGTTATGTGCCCTCCCGACTCCCCCTGTGCTGTGCACCCCCGATCCCAGTATTGTGTCCTCCCGACTCCCCCTGTGCTGTGCCCCCCCGATCCCAGTATTGTGTCCTCCCGACTCCCCCTGTGCTGTGCCCCCCTGATCCCAGTATTGTGCCCTCCCGACTCCCCCTGTGCTGTGCCGCCCTGATCCCAGTTATGTGCCCTCCCGACTCCCCCTGTGCTGTGCACCCCCTGATCCCAGTTATGTGCCCTCCCGACTCCCCCTGTGCTGTGCCCCCCTGATCCCAGTATTGTGCCCTCGCGACTCCCCCTGTGCTGTGCCCCCCTGATCCCAGTATTGTGCCCTCCCGACTCCCCCTGTGCTGTGCCGCCCTGATCCCAGTTATGTGCCCTGAACAATACACAAAACACGTTAAAAAAAAAAAAAAAAGGGGGAAGGGGCAAAAAACAAACGACACAAAAAGCAAACTGCATGCATGTGAATGGAGCCTGACCCTAGGTTCACACCTATGCAGGTTATGTTTGATGCGGATTTGCATTTCATTTTTGATTTGTTTTTTTTGCGTTAAAAAAAAGTCCCCGACCCTTTCCAAAAACCGCACCGAGTGAGAACGCGGAGATGTGAACGTGTCCCATAGGAAATCATGTTCAATGGACTGTACTGCGTTTCCAGAAAATGCATTGGTGTGAAGCTGGGGTTATAGCCCGATGCAGCGAGAGGTCGCTCTGTCGCTGGCCTGAACATTGCTGAATCCCTATGGCTGGCGTTGGGAGCGACATCTCACAGCCATTCCTCTTAGAAAGTCCTCAATGGGACTCTGGAGAGTCGCCGGTCTCAGATCGCCCCAAAGAGAACAAATAAGTACAGCTATTCAAAAATGTAACAATGTAGCAATGTGGACTTTGTCAGCCCCATTAACTTTTTGCATGAAGTTCCCCGTAGCCTCACACCCACCTACCTTCTCCTCCTGTGCAGACAGCTGGGGTGTGCAGGCGGGAGCGTGGGGTACCCCATTATCCCTGCCCCGGTTTGGGGGTAGAGGGTGGAGGGGCAGGCCAGCACACAGATCCTGCAGACTGATCATTGGGGAAGAAGCAACAGACAGACCCACTGAACACACACAACTCTGACCCTGGGTGCTGATCAGGTGAAAAGTACACACCCACTATGGATCTGTCTCCTGATTGGTCAGTGCGACTTCCCAAATTAATGTGTTACCTGACCCAACATTGCACAGACGCAGGGAGCATCCTATGGTTAAAGGGCCAGGCAGCCCCACGTTTTGTTTAAAATCAATATTTTTTTGCTAGAAAATGTCTTAGAACGCCCCCCCCCAAACATTATATATTATTTTATTAGTATTTGCATCAGTATTTGAGTTTTTCAAATTTCGGGGGGAAAAATACTCTTTTTTTTAAATTTTATCGCAAAAAAAACACAATACAGAACCCAATTTCTTTTGTAAATTATAAAAGGTGTTGCTTTTTGTTTAAAATCAGTATTTTTTCAGTACCGATCACTCATTGTGTTCATTCAGGAAAGGAAGGGGCTGGTAAATGTGACATATTTATTGGACCCTTCCCCCACTCTCCATCATGAAGGATCATATTGTGTGCTTGCAGCTGCCGATGGTAAGGAGAAGAGGGAAGCCAGCAGCACTACAGAGTGGGGGCACACAGGGGGGCTTAGGCAGCAGGGGGAAACGCATGGTGCACAGGGAGGGTGGTGGGTGGGGTGGAGCGGGGGAGGGGCAATTACTGGAACTGATCCCCTGTATGGTTCTCTCTACAGCGGCTGAAAGCCAGCAGTAGGAAGAAGAGAAAATAACAGCTTTCAGCTGCTGCAGAGAGATCTCTACAGGGGATCTGTTCCAGTAATTGCCCCCCATGATGTGCTGATCACTCTCCCTGCCCACATCTGATTCACCTAGTTGCCTGCCCCCCCCCCCCCCCCCCCCGTGCTGGCCTGGGCCCCATACAGGAGGACTGGTGGTACCCCCTTATCCACGGCCGTGGGTGCGGCATAGATGTGCCTTGTCCCTCTGCAAAGTCGGACCCACCATTGCGCCACTGTTGCATGCAGGGGCGGACTAACCATTTAGGCATTCAGGCACTGCCCGAGGGCCGGGGTCAGTAGGGGCCCCATGAGATGCCCCTGGTACCTTTCATGGGCTTTTTTGGGTGTGCTTTGAGTGTGTGGCAAGGACACAGGGGCCCCATGATTTCCTATTGTCCAGGGGCCCCATGAGTTGTCAGTCCGCCCCTGGTTGCATGTAAAACATTCAAGTACAACTTTCATGCAACCATTGAAGTCTGTGGCCCTCAAGTCGCATGAAAGTCAGACCAAAGCAGCGCGTGGACTACTCTGCAGTCGCTGCGACTTAAAGTTGCACACATGCGAGAGGACATATTGGAAAACACGGGGTAAGACGTGTCATGCGACTCTGATGTCCAAAGTCGCATGACAAGTTGCGCAAGTGTGAACAGGGTCTAAAAGGAAGTGGACACCAAAAAAAAACAAAATCAAGTTTTTGATGTAATTATTCGTTCAGTGTGCGTTTCGATCGATCAACAGGATCAAATCAGCAAGCAAACAAATAGCCATAACGTCACTTCTGATCGAGTTAGATCGTATCCAATTAAGCTGAGTTGGCCAGTGCGGAAAATGATCGATCGCGTTGCAGGGTTGCGCACTAAGACACTTCGTTCATGAATTTGATTGTATGGGATTGCATGGTGAAAATGCAGGTGCGATCAATAACTTATGATCGAATCTTCTAACTATCAGAAGAAATCCACTTCCCTCATGAGTGTCATATCGATCAAATGGGTCGTTGACTATAGATCGATTAATCCCATTAGGAAGGGATTACAGGGTGGTTTTTCTTATTGATGTTTTCTCTTTTGGTATCTTTGAATATGTTTCTTTTTGGTCTTGGCTTTAATAATGAGCCCTGCCCGGTGGATCACGGTGCTCGATACCCGGCCGTACCAAGTCATCTCTATGACCAATCACAGCGATTACATGATAACATGTAAGCAAAACTGTCACGAATGGCTTTCATCCATGGCAGTTTGCTTACTATTGCGATGCTGCGATTGACCAACAGCTATCACATGGTACATGGCTACCTGTAAAATGTGATAGCTGTGGGCCAATCACAGCACCACAATAGTAAGCAAGCTGTCATGAATGAAAGCCATTCATGACAGTTAAAACAATTGGTCATTTTGGGGGGTATTTCTACTGTCCCGGCATTTTTGGGCCTCAAGAAATGAGATCAGCCGTTGGTACATCAAGACTGATCAATTTTCAAATATATACTGTATATATATATATATATATATACACACCATAGTTTGTAGACGCTATAACTTTCACGAAGACTTAATAATAAACACTGATTTGGGTTATTTTTTACCAAAGAAATATAGCAATATTTGGCCTAAATTTAGGAAGAAAGATGATTTGTTTACAAAATTCTATAACAGAAAAAAGAAAAATGCCTTTGTTGGTATTTTTTTGTTTATATAACAAAAAATAAAAAACCCAGTGGTGATTAAATACCGCCAAAAGGAAACTCTATTTGTGTGAAAAAATGTATAAAAATTTCATTTGTGTACAGTGTTGCATGACCGCCCAACTACCAGTTAAAGTAGCACAGTGCTGAATAGCAAAAAAAAATGTCCTGGTCATGAAGGGGGTAAAATCTTCTGGAGGTCAAATGGTTAATGTGTAACCAGCTTTTCTAAAAATACTACTACTACTACTAATAATAATAATAATAAACATCGTTAAATGCATATCCAGCTTTTAGAAATAATAATACTTTTTTTATGCATAACTAGCTTTTATATTAACCACCTGCCGTCCACCTGCTGTTTATAAACGGCAGGGCGGTGGCACTCCAGGGGCGGGTTGCCGTTCATAAACGGCACCCGCCTTTTCTAGCTGTGCGCGCTCCCTGGGAGCGCGCAGCACCGCGATCTGGTGCCCGCTGTGTCCTCCGGACACAGTGAAACACCGATCGTCGGACGGGACCTCTGTACGAGGTCCTGATCATGTGATCACTAATTGGCTAATCAGTGATCACATGCAAAGTAGTAAGCAAGATGTCACTTGTGACATCATTGCTTACTACATGTGAAATCTGTGAATGATCACAGAGATCACATGGTACAGGGCTATTCACAACAGCCTTGTACCATGTGACAAGCTGTGACCAATCACAGCTCACTCAGTACTTCTCAATGACTGCAAGAATGCAGACAGAGAGAAAGAGAAATGATTGCTTTTACATCCTATATGGGTGTAAAAGCAATCAGCAAAAAAAAAAAAAAAAATCTTCGTCACCCCCCACAAGTAGTACAGTGTCACAGTATGTAAAAAAAAAAAATAATAATAATATGAAAAAATACAATAAAAATGTAAACAAATGTTTAAAAATTATAATTTTTGGTTATAAACTAATTTGGATTTTTTTTTTACTAGAAAAATAACGGAATAAATTATGTCCAAGATTTATGATGAAATATTATTTATTTGCTAAATTTTATTTAAAAAAACACTTTTTTTCAAAATTGTTGGACATTTTCATTTATATAGCAAAAAAAATAAAAATCCCAGCTGTGAATAAATACCACCAAAATAAAGCTTTATCTGTTTCAAAAAAATGGTAAAAAATTCATATGGGTACAGTATTGCATGACCGCGCAATTGTCATTCAAAGTGTGATAGCGCTGAAAGCTGAAAATTGCCCTGGACAGGAAGGGGGTAAAAGTGTCCGGACTGGAAGTGGTTAATAACATGTAAAACAAATGTTTGCAATAACAACAACAATAATAATAATATTAATAAACAGATTGTTACATGTATAACTAGCTTTTGTAATAATAATAATAATAATAATAATAAATACTACAGTTTGCTAATTGTATAACCAGTTTTTATAATAATAATAATAATAATATTATTATTTTTAAATGTATAACCATCTTTAATAATGATAACAACAACAATATTATTACTAAACAGATTGTTACATGTATAACTAGCTTTTGTAATAATAATAACAATAATAATAATGCAGATTGCTAATTGTATTACCAGTTTTTATAATATTATTTTATTTATAGTATTAGTATTATTAATAATAATAATAGTAATAACAATAATTCTAATTATAATAATTGTTAATGTATAACCATCTTTATTAATAACAACAATAATAATAATATTCTTTTAATGTATAACCAGCCTTTGTAATAATAATAATAAAACAGGCTGTTACATGTATAACCAGATTTTGTAATAATAATAAATAAAAATAATAATAATTAACAGATTGTTGCATGTATAACTAGCTTTGTAATAATAATAATAATAATAATACTACAGTTTGCTAATTGTATAACCAGTTTTTATAATAATAAATAATAATAATAATACAGATTTCTAACTGTATAACCAGTTTTAATAATAATAAATATAATAATAATAATATTTTTAAATGTATAACCAACTTTAACAATAATAATATAATATTAATAAACAGATTGTTGCATGTTTAACTAGCTTTGTAATAACAATAATACAGATTGATAACTGTATAACCAGTATTATTAATAACAATAATATATTTTTTATTGTATAACACGTTTTATGAATAATAATAATAATAATACTGGTTATACAGTTATCAATCTGTATTATTGTTATTACAAAGCTAGTTAAACATGCAACAATCTGTTTATTAATATATTATTATTATTGTTAAAGTTGGTTATACATTTAAAAATATTATTATTATTATATTTATTATTATTAAAAAAACTGGTTATACAGTTAGAAATCTGTATTATTATTATTATTATTATTATTATTATAAAAACTGGTTATACAATTAGCAAACTGTAGTATTATTATTATTATTATTATTACAAAGCTAGTTATACATGCAACAATCTGTTAATTATTATTATTTTTATTATTATTACAAAATCTGGTTATACATGTAACAGCCTGTTTTATTATTATTATTACAAAGGCTGGTTATACATTAAAAGAATATTATTATTATTGTTGTTATTAATAAAGATGGTTATACATTAACAATTATTATAATTAGAATTATTGTTATTACTATTATTATTATTAATAATACTAATACTATAAATAAAATAATATTATAAAAACTGGTTATACAATTAGCAATCTGCATTATTATTATTATTATTATTATTCATAAAACTGGTTATACAATACAAAAATATATTATTGTTATTAATAATACTGGTTATACAGTTATTAATCTGTATTATTGTTATTACAAAGCTAGTTAAACATGCAACAATCTGTTTATTAATATTATTATTATTGTTAAAGTTGGTTATACATTTAAAAATATTATTATTATTATTTTTATTAAAACTGGTTATACAGTTAGCTTTGTAATAATAATAATAATAATAATAATAATAACACAGGCTATTACAAGTGTAACCGTCTTTAGTAATAATAATAATACAGATTGTTACATGTATAACTATGATATATAATAATTATGTAATAAATAATAATGCCAACATTCCATTGCTATCCATTTTGCCACGTGCAGCAGGTGCCTGCAGTCCCCCTCTCCTTCCAGCAGATGGCGCTGCCCCGTTACATTCCAGAGCCCGTGGGCGGAGCCTTTTCCCACGTGTTGGGCATTTAATTTAAAGGGACAACAACTCCAGAGAGCCTAAGGAAAGTGACAGCCTTGGGGATCGCAGGAGGGAGAGGACTTTGAAGCATCTGAAGGGAGGGAGAGAGGCAGAGGACCGCAGCATCACCTGGGCACCTGCACTGACCTTCTGGATCAGGAAGGGGAGGCAGCAGGACCACACTGGCAGTTCTGGCCACATGTTTGATTTTGTTTGCAAGAAGCTGCAGCAGTCATTAGACACAAGGTTGTCTGGGATACTCAGCAATCTCTGAGTGATGGCAGAAGAAGCAAATTGCATGCAGCTGTCCCAGCAGGGATGAGAGCAGCTCTGTGTGCCAAGCGGACATAGTTTCCCTCTTTGTGTAGTCTGGTGCATGGGGTGGGGTGAGATAAAAGCCAGAGGGATGTGGAGGTGCAGGATATAATTAAACACTGAGGAGGTTAGAGGAGACAGCCAAGCCCTTAATGTTATGCCAAGGAGGTGAATACCTGCTGCTGCTGTATGATGTGTCAGTGACAACCAGAGTGTAGAGGGTTGTCAGAGATCCCTTAGGCTCAGCCACTGTCTGGGGTGACTTGGGAGGGTGCAGAACATGCAGGACTGAAGATCTCCTCTCATCATCCATTATCTGATCTTCCCCATCACCTGGGACTGAGATTCTGACATGCAGAAGATCACTCTTCCTGTCCTCTTGGAGTGGATGGTCCTCCTATGGATGGTCCTCCTTGTGCACACAGACTCAGGTAAGACCTCCAGCCTCTCCCTCTCACCTGTCCCTCTCAGTTAGGGATCTTCTTCAGGTAACTAGCGGTCCATTGAGCAATGAGAAATCTCTGAGTCTCAGATGAGCCATCACTGACACCAATGGTCATTTTAACCATCTGTAAGGAGGACATTCTTCCCACTGACCACCAATGTAAGGAGGACATTCTTCCCACTGACCACCAATGTAAGGGGGGCACTCTTCCCACTGACCACCAATGTAAGGGGGGCACTCTTCCCACTGACCACCAATGTAAGGGGGGCACTCTTCCCACTGACCACCAATGTAAGGGGGGGCACTCTTCCCACTGACCACCAATGTAAGGGGGCACACTTACCACTGACCACCAATGTAAGGGGGGCACTCTTCCCACTGACCACCAATGTAAGGGGGGCACTCTTCCCACTGACCACCAATGTAAGGGGGGCACTCTTCCCACTGACCACCAATGTAAGGGGGGCACACTTACCACTGACCACCAATGTAAGGAGGACATTCTTCCCACTGACCACCAATGTAAGGGGGGCACTCTTCCCACTGACCACCAATGTAAGGGGGGCACTCTTCCCACTGACCACCAATGTAAGGGGGCACTCTTCCCACTGACCACCAATGTAAGGAGTGCACTCTTCCCACTGACCACCAATGTAAGGAGGGCACTCTTACCACTGACCACCAATGTAAGGGGTGCACTCTTACCACTGACCACCGATGTAAGGGGGCACTCTTCCCACTGACCACCAATGTAAGAGGGGCACTCTTCCCACTGACCACCAATGTAAGGGGTGAACTCTTACCACTGATCACCAATGTAAGCAGGAATTTCTCCACTGACTACCAATGTAAGGAGATAATCATACAATGTAAGGGGGACTTCTTCACTGACCACCAATGTAAGGGGGCACAACTTCACTGACCAACAAAGTAAGGAAGACATTTTTCCCACTGACCACCAATGTAAGTGGTACTTCTCTGACCACACAAAGAAGGAGGCATTCTTCCCACTAACCACCAACACAAGGAGTACATCTCCTCTAGCCACCACTCTAAGGAGGGCATGCTTTCCACTGACCACCAATGTAGAGGGAACAGTATTCCCACTGACCACAAATGTAAGCAGGCATTTCTTCAATGATCACCAATGTATAGGGGACATTTTTCCCACTGACCATCAATGTAAGGGGGCACTACTTCCCTGACCACCAATGTAAGGGGGGCACTTCTTCCCTGACCACCAATGTAAGGGGGGCACTTCTTCCCTGACCACCAGTGTAAGGAGGACATTCTTCCCACTGACCATCAATATAAGGGGGCACTACTTCCCTGACCACCAATGTAAGGGGGCACTTCTTTGCTGACTACCAATATAAGAGGGACTTCTTCATTGACCACCAATGTATGGGGACACATCTCCTTTAACCACCACAGTAAAGGGGGCATTCTTCCTATTGACCACCAGTGTATAGGGAACATTCTTCCTACTAGCCACCAATGCAAGGAGTACATCTCCTCTGACCACCACTGTGAGGAGGACAATCTTTCCTCTGACCACCAATGTAAGGATGGGCATTCTTTCCACTGACCACCAATGTAAGGGGGCTCTTCTCCTCTGACCACCACAGTAAGGGCATTCCTCCCATTGACCACCAGT